TGGGTGCCTTTCTTTTTACCCCCCCCCCCCCCCCCGGTCACTCGCTCTGTGCAACTGTCCTGTGGTCCTATCCCCGTGCATTAAGGCTGCTAGTTTTTGGGCAAGTCTGACTTCTGATTCTTACCACTGCTGGGAGACCTACAGTGTATACAGTTCCAGAGGGTAGCTGTGTCGGTCTGTAGTAGAACAGCTCAGTTTGAGTCCAGTAGCTCCTTAGAAGAGACCAACAAGATTATTGAGTTATAAGTTTTTGAGAGTCAGTGCTTCCTTCGTCAGATACAAGTCAGAATGGAGATCTGAGTCTTTATATTCCAGTCAGAAGGGGTGGGAAGGGAAGTCTGCCTGTAGCTGGATTGGCAAAACTTGCAAATTAATTTTCATATGGAGGAGGAGATTGGATTTATACCCCGCCCTTCACTTGGAGTCTCAGAGCGGCTTACAAACTCCTTTCCCTCCCCCTCCCCACAACAGACACCCTGGGAGGGAGGCGGGGCTGAGAGAGCTCTTTCAAGGACTGTCATTGAGAGAACAGCTCTGACAGAACTATGGCTCGCCCAAAGTCATCCAGCCATGTGCAAGTGCAGGAGTGGGGAATCAACCCCGGCTCTCCCAGATTAGAGTCCGCGCCCTTAACCACGACACCAAACTGCCCAGCCTTGTCAGTGGGAGACAACAACAAAAGGAGGGGTCACGGTGGAATGAGCACAAAACAATAGAAAACACTGTGTATAAACATGTAATATATGCAAATAATATTTAATAAATATTGTGTGTAGTGTATTAAATGAATATAATCATACTATAGGCGTTTACATTCATATGTAGACAATCAATAGCATAATCAAAGTAACAAAGATTATAAGGGAAACAGTCCAAATATTCTCTTATCTAAATAGCTAGTTTCTGTGCAACATAATCCAAAAGTAGTCTTTTATCTCAGAGCCTGCTGCTATAGAAGAGACAATTCAACAGTCCCACCACTGTAGGGCAAATAATCCTCATTGCCAGACAAGCGATCCAACGACTTCCCGGTTGACAAGCCATTTCCAGCCTTCTTTCTCAAGAATCGCTCAATATATTGTATACATCATTCATTGGAACGAATGGGAAAAGTGACTATGGCTGTGGTCACATGGAACATTAGCCACGCTACAGAGACGGAAGATAGGCGGATTTTCTGGGCACAATCACACCACCACATCTGGGAAGCGTAGAGCTCCCGTGCCGAACCCAAGGCTTCCCGGAGAAGATGCGGGGTAAAAAACCAGTACCTCCGAGGTACTAGTTTCCGGAAACCGCGGGGCAAGGGCAGGCGCCTGATCGCGTTTCCAGTGGAATCCGGCGCCCGCCCATGTCCCGTCGCAAACAGGTTTGTTTTTTTTGAAGTCTCCACAGGATGCGCACAAGCGCCCAACGGCGCATGCGCACAAAGAGGCCCCCTCCCACTGCAGCCAGGCTTGCCGCCCCTGGAGGGTCGCTATGGCCACTGTTGTGCAGGTGGCTAGAGCGGCTGTGACGAGGGGGCCCATCTCCCCCTCCATTGGCTATGCCTCAGAGCTCTGTTGGGGTCCGGAAGCGTCTTGTCGCCCTCTCCGGTAAGCCCACCACCCACCTTCGGATGTGCAGATACGATTGCTCAGTCATGCGTATGCACAAACGTCAGTTAAAAAAACTATCACGTTTGCCACGGAAGCGGCGCCTAGCGATTGCTGGTGTGATTGCGCTGCTTCTTTGCTGCGCCACAGGATGGTCGTGTGATCGGCACCTCCCCCCTAAACATGGGACCTCGACGGGACGTCTGATCATGCAGCCGCGCGTTATTTTGCTCCGGGGTAAACAGCCACGCTTCCCCCCCGCATTTTCCTGCCCATGTGACCGGGGCCTATGTTTGTCTAAGAGAATGGAGATTGGTTCCAGTGAATGATCTAGACAATATAGTGAGTGATTCTTGAGAAAGAAGGCTGGAAAAGGGCTTGTCAACTGGAACCGGGAAGTTGTTGGATCGCTTGTCTGGCAGTGAGGATTATTTGGCCTACAATGGTGGGACTGTGGAATCGTTTCTTCTACTACTTTTGGATTACGTTGCACAGAAACTAGCTATTTAGATAAGAGAATATTTGGATTGTTTCCCTTATAATCTTTGTTATTGATTGTCTATATAGGAATGTGAATACCTATAATATGTTTATATTGTCAGTGGGACAGGCATAACCTATACAAGGATACCTTTCAGTCCACCAATGAGAAGAAACCTTCATGGTAAATCCCTGTTTTGTTTTCCTCCAACCCTAATTCTGTTCTTTTTCAAAGTAGTTAAGACTTTAAAAACTGATAGAATTGTTGATTGGCAGTTGGGAAGAAAGAGGTGTGCATTTTTTGGTACGCATCCTTTGGTCCCAGTCTCCCCTTCAGAATGTTGCAAGAACCCCAGCACTATTTCCCAATCTTCCACTGTTTTCTGTTCTTTCTTCTTCACCCAGCACTCAGCCGCTCTCAGTTTTCCAAATCCAGAGGACAGGGAAGCTATGCTGTGGGTCTCTTTTGTCTTTTGGAAAACGTGTATTAAAGAGTATTTTTGCATGCATGAGAAAATCCTGTTGTATGAGTGGCGTCTTTTGCAGCCTCATCGATAAGCACTTGGACATCAAGCTCTGGGTTACGAGGGTTAGTTATTGTTCCTGTAGTTATTTCAGTGGATTTTCAGTGTCATTATTTGCTACAGACTTGTATCCATTATTTCCCTGGTATAAGACAATCTTACTTAGCTCTTTCCGAGTGGACTTGTACCTATGTGTATACATGAGAGAGAAATAATTTCATGGATTAAACTTTTGTTTAAATAATGCTTAATTTGCAGCTTTTGTCAGACAAAGTCTTGAGTTGTGGTACAGTTCTTCATATATCTGATCTACCAAATGATGGCTATACAGATCAAGAGATTGAGAAAATTGTTCTTCCCTTTGGAAAAGTTAGTGACTTTGTAGTGATTCGTTCTAAAAATGAGGTAAGCCCTAAATTCTGATTGTGGTATTTCTGGGAAATAACATGTTGGGGTGGTAGTGGTAATAGTTGAATATCGTACAGCAGTAATTCATGGTCCTCTGAGGCTCCTCTGAGTTTTTGTTTGCAACCCCCCCCCCCTCGTTCTTCTCAGTTACTGGGTTTTAGAGCATTAGACCTTAGAATTTCCATGTCGTCTTGGTGCTTCTGATTATGGAGTCCTTTTTCAGGGTTTTGTAACAAGGTGATTTTCACCGTTGGCCTCTCGCCCCTTCCCCAAACTCCCCCCCCCCCAATAAAGATAAATGGAGGTTTTTTCAATGTTGACACTTTGTCATCTGTCAGGAACGGCTACTTTATGTCATTTGGGGAAGTGTGTTTCAAGAGGAGCTGCTTCAGTAGTTCCTTGAATGTACACAATTTTGTACCTCGGGAAAAGTTGAGACCCCCCCCCCTCCACCTTTGGTCTTGGAATCGTTACAGTTCCTTGCATAGGTTCCTTGCAAGGGTTATGTGCCTTGCCAGGATTTCTTGCTAGAAAAAGTCTTAAAATTAAAGGGTTTTACATCTGGTTTCTGCTAATCATCTGCCTGTAATTAAACAATTTGGAAATGAGTTTATTGTAGTTTAACTACAGCTGCGTTGAAAAAGATAGTTTAAAAGTACAGAAAGATACGTGTTCCATCCACGTGGGTCATTGTCAGTACCTCATTCAAAGTAAGCATGTAAAAGCAAAATCTTAAAGGCAGTTTCCCCCCTGTTTTATTAGGCCTTCCTAGAAATGAATTATAAAGAAGCGGTAATAGCAGCTGTCAAATACGGTGAAACAGTTCCAGTTTTGGTTAATGGAAGGCGCGTGAAAATCAGCATTGCAGAAAAGCCCAAACCACCACCCAGCCAGGTAAGCGGTGGTCGTTAGAGGCTGGTTGGGACCTAAATGCCATAGCATCTTTTGAACTAGTTTTTTACCCACGGAGTATTTACACTTTCCACAGTTGTCTTTTTTCACAGACAGGAAATATGGCCGGAGTACTGTGGTGTGATACCTGTGTCTTCCATGTCTTAACATCATTATACCTGCAAGAGCCAGCATAGTGTAGTGGTTAGAGGATGGGAGAAACCCCCCAGCCCTTTTCAGCCTGCAGGCACCCTTGGAATTTTGAGTGGGTGTGGTGAATGCCACTCCAAAATGGCTGTCACTGGAGGTAGAGCCAAACACAATACCTCCCTCCTCAGTTTGGAAAGGAATCACAAAAGGGGAATAAAAAGAATGAAGGAACAGCAATGTACCAATGTAACTTTCCCAAAAGGCACGAGCCGGGGTCCAGCAGGGCAGGTTGCAGAGAGTAACCAAAGTCCAGTCCAAAAGTCGGGTTCCAGAAAAGCGGATTGTCAGGTCCAGTTCAAGGTTGCAGAGGTCCTGTAGCAAGGTTGGTGGCTCTGTAGCAAAATGTACTTGTTTTATCCACAAACTGCTGCTTCTCCCTGCTGAATTTATAGCCAAGTCTTAATGAGCTACACTCCCAGCCAATTCATTGGCAGTCATCCCGAAACTACTCATTCATCTCTTCAACTGACAGCTGACAAGGGGCCATGAGTCTTGCACTTCTTCTCCTTTCTTACAATTCTGAGTGTCTCTGACAGTGTCGATGCAGCCAGGGTGGGGGTGAGCTAGGTGGGCTGGGAGTGGCTGCTGAAGACTTGTTTACTGCTTCAGAGCTAAAAGGTGTAGGCTGCGACTCCTGATTAGCCTGTAACCTGATCTCTTGGAGTTCTCTTGCTGGCTCAGAGCCAGCTGCAGCCAGCTGGTCAGTTACCTGCTCAGGGCTAGCAGGTAGCTCTTTGTCTGAGAAATCTGAGCCATCACTCAGCACAGACTGACTTAGGGCAGGCAAAAGAGAAGGTAGAAATAGGTGGGTGCCGCGGCATCCCTGGGTACTGTGTTGGGGAACCCTGGATTTAGAATATTGTAATGGGGTCTGGGGGACCCAGCCTTAAATCCTCAGGGAGCCTAACCTACCGTGCCGGGAGGGTATGGAGACGATGAAACGGAGGGGAGAAATGTGGGGTATAAATGTCTAAAACGGCAGAACTGCTCTAGCTCTGAGAGACCCCC